GGGGGGGGGGGGGGGCAGATCATGGCCCCCACACTGAGGGCAGTAGTGGAGCAGGGGCTGGGGGAATGGGTCCCTGGGGCCAGGGCAGGTCATGAGATGGAGCCACAGGCATGGGTGGATGTGGATCCCTGTAGCTGCGTGCACCCCCAGGGGAGTCATGGAGGGCATGTACCACCCAGATTTTTGAGCGAGACAAAGGCAGGGGCGGGATGGCCGCTATGGGCTGGGGCTCTGTGCCCTGCTGCCTTTGTCCCGGCAGCCACACAATGCCAAGCTGTGCCTCCCACCACCGGGTGGGCAGGGGACATGCGATGCAGCCATCATGCAGCTCCCAGGGTAAAGGCAGAAGGGTGCAGAGCCCAGCCTGCAGCAGGCAGCCTGCCTCCACCCCTCACACAAAACCAGGGGGCACATGCCCCTCATGCCTTCCCCAGGGGTGTGCACAGTGGTGGGGAGCTGCACCCCCACACCCCTGAATGAGCTGCCCGCAGCTCTGTCTGACAAACCACCCTGGCCCTGAGGCCCCATTCAACACAGCCCCACTCCCTCACTCAACATGGGGGACTTGATCTGCACCCCTACCCCTGCTTGCTCCCCCTTCCTCCTCCACAGACTTACCTGCTGGGCACTCTGTGTATCTGTGTGTGTCTGCCCCTCACTCCCAAGTCACAGCCACCCTCAGCCCTGCTGCTGCCCCTCACTCCTGACCCATGGTACCCTGCATCCTGCTAAGGCACGAGTGGTCAACTCTTCTTCGAGATGTACAACTAATCATGATAACATTTTTAACTGTTTGACTGCCCAACCAATAATATAATAATACTACGGCATATCACAAAGAGAATCTTATTTCTTCTATGTAAAAACTACAAGGAATATCATGGCACTATTATCCTGGCAACCTGATAGACTCCCAGCTATATGCATACTGTAAGCACACAAACTCTAAGGTAAGAAGGAGAAAGAACAAATGAGAGAAAGTAAAAATTCTGAGAAAAATATTCAAAAGGGAAAAATATTGATAAAACATATCACAAACATGTTTTGCTTGTTCATATTTTATCTGGCAGAAACCTGAATGGAAATGAGTCAGAAGTTTACAGATATTTTAATGAGTATTTTTTTCACTTTTCAACCTGTCTTAGCAGGTTCTTCCAGTCATGCAAATAGCATCTATCCCACCAAAACCAATGTTAATGATTTTAATTAAAACTTGAAATTATTGTGAACTGGAGAGAATTCTGGCTTTGGCCGTATCTCTCTCTAAGCATTATGAAATGTCACAAAAGAGATTTTCTTGGAAGACTATCATACCATAGTTGAAGATCTGTAAGGGTGAGAAGATCAGGAGAAAGTCTGAAGAGTTATCAAACCTTCAAACTGTTGTACATTGAAAACTTCATTCCCCCTTGACTCATTCCTTGCGGGGAGGGCAGGCTTACTATTCCAGAACACAGTCTTCAAGTAGCAATAGCAGCATACTAAATGTCTAGTTAGTGTATCAGTGTAGCATACTAAACGTCTAACTTAGTGTATCAATTGTAATCAACTTGCACTTGTGAAATACTGTATCTTGCAGAGAGCAAATGAGCACAAGCAGACAAAAAGGCGACTGTTCAAGCAATGGAAAATAAATGAGTTGCTTAACCAAGCTGATTCTCTTAGGAGGTGGAGCAGAACTCTAATCAGTACACAACTGGAGGTACCAAGGGCAAACTTAAGACAGGAGTTTAACCAAAAGGTGCAGGCTCTTATACAAGCCTGGCTTTATTACACATCTCCTCCCTTGGGATTTTTCCTCATCACCCTAAGTCATGCATTCATCCCTCCATTTTCAACCGCATGAAACTGCCTTATTTCAGGTGCTTCTCATGACCATTCTCCCCATTAGGAAGACTGCATTAGATTTCTTTAGAATTTTGCTAAAGCAAAACTTACCTAGGTGTTACTTACTACCAAGAGGCACTGTGCTGAGTGGAGCATGCTCTTCTGATGGTGTATTCAACACTGCCTGCTATGCAAGTGGAAAGCTAACATTGAGAAATGTATCCTGCTTTCCAACAATGCCTTGATAACACTGAGAACTGGAGCAACCTCCTAGAGTAGATTTCCAAATACCCACTGGACACATTGTGCAGAGACCCAAAATGATACCTTCACTGTAAAATGACAAGCTCCAGTACTACTCATAAAATTATATGACTCATAAAATACATACCTCCTCTGCATGCCTGAATGATAAAGATTTTGGGCTTTCCTCGAAGTTTTGGACAGTTTGCATTGTTGAATAGTGGAAATATATCTTTGAGATTAACTTTGACTTCATCTTTCCCACTAATGTAGCCATTTCTTGTCCCATGGCTCATAAGAGTGATGAGGCAGCAGCTAACGACATCTGCCGACTGATTGATTTCATCACGGAATTTTTCCAACTTTGGTACTATATCCTGGAGCAAAGGATGATGGCAGATGTATTGATTAAAACCATTTTCATAAAATAATGTTTTGTTGATAATGTAAAATAAAACAAACAGCTCAAAAGAAGGACACTAAACAGACAAACAGAATTATTTGAAACCACTACTGCACCTTGTATTGTGAAGTCATCTGTAACCAGGAGCAAGAAGGAGCTGTCTTACAGTGCCTCTTGAATAAGAGCCAAGTGCTATACATTTCTGACTTGCTTACATTTGAACCTGATTCTCATTTTTTATTCTGGTGTTATTAGGAGTAACTCCACTGAAGGCATTGGTCCTCATATTCTTTTCTGTCTTAAATATAGCTTCATTGGCCAAATCTGACCTAAGTGGGTTCAGCATAAATCAGGAGCAGATAAGGTAAATTCGAGCATGAAGCTAACCTAGGAATCTGAAACATACCAGGAATGGACCACTGCTGTTTGATGAGAAGCAGATTCTGAGATCTGGCATGTTTAGTCTGAAGGGAGGATTCTCACAACACAAAGTTAATGTGCTCTTACTCTTTCCTCTTTCTAGAATAATAAAAATAATTCCAAATTTTCCATTGAATGGTATTTGTTTGAATGGTATCAGTTGCAGTGCTATCAAAAAGACTTATTTCTAATTTCAACTTTTTAAATTATATAATATAGAATAAAAACTTAGAATCAAATAGTTATTTTCCAAACAGGCAAAAGTGTTCAGCTCTTTCTTTCCCTTCATTCATAACAAAACATTGTGGATGATCAGAATGCACTTCTGTGTTTGTGAGAAGCAAGGATTTCTTAGGGCAATCTCATTTAGTGGTTCAACTATGTGGTTGAGATAAAGCTACACAAGGTTTCAAATGCAAGACATCCTTCCTCAGGTCTCAGATCAGAGGGAGCCACACACAGCATCTGGGTGTACATTTTGCATTGGTGCACCCAGAACTTGCACCAGAATTCTGAGGACCTGACCCTGTGCTCAATGAAGTCAATAAAAATTCCCATTGGATTGTGTGGTTCATTTGAAAATAGAAAATAGTTTTGTAGCTTTGCACAAATAGTCTCAGGGATGAGCTTGAAATCATAAATACAAACCTTTTCTTTTGGCTCACCAGATACCGCTTTCCAATTAATGGGCACGTCTACATGTGCTATTAACACAAGGCAATAAACTCCAGTGCACATTGCATTGGAGTTTATTGCCATTTGAATGTATGCCTGGGACCACAGCATGTTGAGATGGGTCGGAGCAACTCCAGAAGGCAGGGGACCCCGAAGGTCAACCCACGAGCCGGGGCTCTTCTGACCTGGCTCAACATGCTACAGAGAGACCGGCTGGGGCACTAGGGTGCTCTAGTGCGGGGCTAGCCACCAGGGAGCCCCTGCACTGAAGCACCCTCATGTCCTTAGCCAGTTGCATCAGCATCTATACTTGCAGTACTGCAAACTAAAAAAAACGACACAGCAGGATAGTCCTTGTATTTACAAGTCCTACTGTGCTGCAAAGCTCATCAGCTTAATCCAGCCTTATAGGGCCATATATGTAGAGGCAAGGCATTGACTGCAGAGTAAATATCTTGTGTAGATGTGCTCAGTGTGAAGCGCTGAAATCCAAGGCACTTTGAGCCATCATAAACAACTCCTGGGCACAGCCTCTACATGTACACCTGGGACAGCAACAATATGAGCTGGGGCAGAAAGTTTAATCCAGGGCTGCTCCTGCCCTGCTCTTCTCCAGTCTCTGGGTGGCAGTGTTGGGCAGTGGAGGGCTGCCTGAGTTATGAAGGTGCTGAAAGTGTAGAGACATGTGGCTAAAATTTCCCATTGACTTGTACAGGAGTCAGGATTGTGTGGCTCATTTGAAAAGAAAAATTAGCATTTTAGCTTTGCACAAATAGTCTCCGGGATGAGCCTGAAATCAGAAATGCAAACCTTTCATTTTG